AAAGAAGGAGGAGAGATCAGGGCGATAGATGTTTGGGAGGAAAGAGGGAGCAAACCACACCAGAGCACCCCCCAACCACCCACAAACACTTTTCTGCGCAAATACAAAAATTCGAGCTAGTGCTAGTTAACAGTTAACTCTGGTAAAGGACACAACTACAGCAGACTTACGGGCTTTGTTCTCAATATGGGTCATTTTGTACCCTCAAAATCTTATTATATATATGTTATTTAACCCTATCCATACGTCGTGCTTTACTATCATATCCATACGACGTGGGAAACTCTGTGCCACCACTTTCAAAGAGGAATTTACTCGTTAATCCGATCCGTACGCTTTGCATAGCAGTCTGTCAAAATGATTTTTTGAGAAATACTCAAAGTTTCAAAGAGGTCTACATACTAAAAGTACTTTAAAATGTGAAGAATACAACCCCGTGGACGAACAACATAAGAACATGGACTGGACTAGATATGGCAGAATGTGCAACGGCACATCGCGACCGTGAAAGATGGAAGGTCATTACATGTCAACCTCTGAGTCAGAGATGACACCTCCAGGTATCCAGGTACGTCAATTTTAGATTTTATACCAAAACAGGGCCCCGGCAAAGTGGGTTTACCTCCCTCTGAGAAAAAGAGTTAATCCTGCATTTGACACATACAAGGGTACAAACAGCCCTCGTGTCCACCTGGTTAACTTCCGGATGTATTGCAGATATATCGGTGAGAGTCCACACCCCTTGCGGACTTATCACTGAGATAATTATCGGCTATGATCGGGTGCCTCAGTTTTGTTTCATTTTAACAAGACCCGTCATTTAAAAGTACTTAATATTGTTATTAAAAACTTGGGAAAGATTTAGGAAACGAAAACATCTACTTTCACTTTCTGAAAGCATCGGTTTGGCGAAAAATGAGGGAATTAATTCTTGAGGTATAGCGTCACAAAACAATGTAACCGGACCCAGTAGTAACATCATAACTCAAACAAAAATTGGAATATTGCCTTCAAATAAAAAGCTGTGCATTCAGAAACTCATGCTTTCACATGTTTGATGAGTGTAATTTTTATTGTCAAAATTTATTTTTTTGATCACCACCACCCATTCAAACCCTTGTAATGCACGCTTACATTCAAAATTATTCCTTATTTCATGTTTGAATGTATTTCTCATTCAATTTCCTTCAATTTGATATATCATGTGTTACCTTTTGGGAAATGGCTATGCTTATATGAAATTATTAATTTTGTACATCACCTGCACAGCCAAATCGAGATACAGGTTAATTACGTCTAGACCCCCAAAAAACTACGTCCGGAGAGAGTTGTTTAAATACTCAGTTCTCACTTGAGAGTCCTCTCTGCTGCCTCCACCTTGCTGAGCCCGGCCTGGTGCGGCTGGTAGAAGAGACGGTTCATGTTGGCCAGCTCCACCTTGTCGTAGTCAAACAGCAGCAACTGAAAACACATTGGACGGAGTGGGGGGATCGGTTGGGTTTTACTTGCAACACAATAAGGTCATATAAGAGTCGA